GCCCAGCTCTGTCTCAGTGAGGCAGAAGCATGGGCAGCTGCAGCTGTAAGAAAGTTAGTAGGGGTGAGATTAGGACCCTGGAGGATGGAGAACATTTAAAAATCATGAGGGAGTAGCCCTGGCTGATGTGGTAGTTGGTTGTGCACCAAAAGGTTGACAATTCAATTCCTGGTCAGGGCATATGCTCTAGTTTTGGGCTTGATCCCCAGTAGGGGGTATGCAGGAGACAGTGATCAATATCACATTCTCACACTGATGTTTTTCTCTCTCTGCCTCTTGCTCCCCTGGGTGATTGAGGCCAATATGCATATACCTCTTAGAGGTCTCACAGGTACCTTCAACTTAATTCTAAAACCAAACTCACCATTCCTCTCTCTCTAAAAGTCAATAAACTATTATATTAAAAAATCATGAGGGAGTTGTGAGTCAGCCAGAGATCCATGGAAAGATTGCTAGGTAACATGGGCCCATGTGGGAATGTGGTAGCAAACATTTCTCAAGACTGTGTCATTTCTTTAACAGGTTGAGAAGTCAGGAGGGAGCCATTCATGGACTGAAGTGGGGCTGGAGGAAGCCAAGGGGATGGGAGTACTAGAGTGTGGTTGATGCTGGACTATTAAGGTAGACAGGTTCACCATAGGGTCCAGGCAGGTGAAACAGGCTGGTGGAGAGCTAGGGGGCCTGGGAGTGGGTTAGTGGGTCAGAGAGAGAGAAATGTGGGGGACAGTGCACGTGTGCAGTTGACCGTAGAATGAGCTGTGTGTCTCTTGGAATAACTGGGGAGGTGGTCAGATGCTAAGAAAGATGGGATTGCTTCCTATAGGTCTGTACATGGTAGTGACGAAGATGGGACGTGGGCGTAAGCTGGCCTTAGAAGGTGGTACACATGTAACTCAGAAGCACAAGTGACCGTGAGCTCCCAAGGCCAACCCAGTGACCGAGGCAGGGTGGCTCAACCGGGCCGGAGCCTTCTCGGCACCATGTCACATATATTAACTCACTTGATCCTGAAACACTGACCAGGCAGGGGCATTACTAATAAACCCATTGACAAAGGGGAAACTGAGGCACACAAGGTTTAGGAATCGCCTGAAGTGGTAGGTGGTCAGTTATGGAACCAGGATTTGCACCCTTGCCGTCTGTGGCTAGAGCTGGGGGGCTGGCCCCCCACTCACTGTCTGCCTCGTAAGCGGACTGGGGATGCTTAAAAGGTTAATTCTTTTAAGAAAAAAAATGGGAAATAAAAAATAATAGTTTATTCTCATATTATTTATGTCATATCCATCCACTCTAGAAAATACAGAAGAGCGCCAAGTATACAAGAAACAGTTCCCCATGGCTGTAGTTGGAGCGACGGGACAGTCCCTTCTGGCTGACCTCGCAGGGCCTGCTGGTCTCCTGTGCCCAGGGCACCCCTTCCTGCTCCTGCCCGGAGAGGAGCTGCCCCAAGCTGCCCATGGGTTGTCTCAGTCCCTTCATAGCTCAGCTCCTGGCCTGGGTCAGTGGTTGCCAGGGACCCTTCTCCCGCCTGCTTGAGAGTTCACTGCCAGATCCTGGAGTTTCTCATGGCCATAATCCACCCCTCGTGGCCCTGTGCGCTCTCTAGAGCACCTTGTTCGCTTCTCCCCTTGTCACCCAGCTGTCCCGACTGCAGGGGCTCCCAGACTACTGGCCAGTCAGGTGCTATTGTGATGGCTCCTGGGTCGGAGACAGAGGACCTTGCACTCAGGCCTCAGGCACGGGAGCTGCTGGCTCCTGTCAGTGCCCCGACCCCAGCCCAGAGGCCACATGGCTGGGGCTGCTCCCACAGTGGGCCCGTCCCGCCCAGGAGCCCGAGCGTAGGGAACCATACCATTCAAAATGGCTGCAAGCAAACCCTCCATCCTTTGCTCTGTAGGTTACATCGCCATTGTCATTCTAGACAGTAAAGCCCTGCCCTGCTTCAGAGACTCCTGGCTGTCTTCCGAGGCTTCACAGGGGGGACCCTGGAGCCTCCCCCGACAGCGCACAGGAAAACAAGCTTCACCGCTAAGAAATGCCAGAGGAGCCCTAACCGGTTTGGCTCAATGGATAGAGTGTTGGCCTGCAGACTAAAGGTCCCAGGTTTGATTCTGGTCAAGGGCATGTACCTTGGTTGCAGGCACATCCCCAGTAGGAGGCGTGCAGGAGGCAGCTGATTGATGTTTCTCTCTCATCGATGTTTCTAACTCTCTATCCTCTCTGTAAAAAATCAATAAAATATATTTAAAAAAAAAAGTCAGAGGAAGTGCGCAAGCCTACTGGCGAGTCATTTCCTACATGGGTCATCATCATCTTAACCCTTATGCTGTACTTGTGGTTACATCATTATAATTGTTTAATATAATAACTAATAGAGGCCTGTTGCACCAATTTGTGCACCGGTGGGGTCCCTTGGCCTGGCCTGCACCCTCTCACAATCCGGGAGCCCTCGGGGGATGTCAGAGAGCCGGTTTTGGCCTGATCCCTGCAGGCCAGGCCAACGGACCCCACTGGTGCACTAATCTGTACACCAGGCTTCTAAGATCTTTGGTTAATCTTTTCCTGCCCTCCCCCCTTCCCTCTGAGATTTATCAGTCTGTTCCATGTTTCCATGCCTGTACATTGAGCGTCTGCCTCCTGGTGGTCAGTGCACATGAGCTGCAGAGGAAACACCTTTTCTGACCACTCATTGGCTAAGCTCCCGGTACGCCACTCACAGTATTCTTAGTAACTTGGGTAATAAGAATCCAAGAAGGTGATTTAGGGTTTTTCCACCTCACTACTCCCCGCCCCTTCGCTCCCCTCCCCTCCCCTCCCCTCCCCTCCCCTCCCCTCTCCTGGCCTGCACTTGGCCGCAGTGGCTTGGGCAGGCCCCCCTGTCTTCGTCTCCGCTCCGGGCCTCACCTGTGCAGGTAGCCTCCTCCTGACTGGTCGTGACTGTTACGGCATCACAGCTAATTTGCATATTGCCTCTTTTTACACACACACACACACACACACACACACACACACACACATACATATAATATATCATTAAAACAGTTTTGTTTGGGCAGTGGATCTCAGATAGTTCCCGGAGTACTATTGCTCCGTTTCTATCTGTCAACACTGCTGTGTGACTTTGCTCATGTGTCACAGTGCTTATGACACACTGTAACATGTTGTGGGAGCCCTGGCACTTCTGGCTCATTGCGGGCGGCTAGCGTGGGGCACACACAGAGCGCCCACTCTTTTTATCCGTCTCACTCAGAGTCTTTCCATATAATATTTAATGGGCAACAGAAAATTCTTGCTTAGAAAAACACATTATTGCCTAGAAAGAGGAAGAAGGAGAAAGAAATCACTATTTTTTAAAAAATATATATTTTATTGATTTTTTACAGAGAGGAAGGGAGAGGGATAGAGAGTTAGAAACATTGATGAGAGAGAAACATTAATCAGCTGCCTCCTGCACACTCCCTACTGGGAATGTGCCTGCAACCAAGGTACATGACCTTGACCGGAATCGAACCTGGGACCCCTTGGTCCGCAGGCCGACACTCTAGCCACTGAGCCAAACTGGTTAGGGCAAGAAATCACTGTTAAAAAGTGGTGTGCTTTGGTGCCAGAGTGCTGTGCCGGGGCAAGGTTCAGAGCTGTGAGGCTCTTCTGTGAACTGGGAGTGTGTTCTGTGACCATTCCTACCTCATCTCCCTGTGGAAACAGCCACTGTCCCAGGCCCAGCACTGCTGGGCAGAACCTACGCTTATACCGGAACAGGCGCCTGTCCTGCCCGGGCACTGCATGGGCCTGGGCCAGGGGAAAGGCCATGCCACTCCGAGTCTTCATCGAGGCTGAGGAATGCCACTCTCCCGGTCTCAGGACACGCCCTGTCCCCTGTCACACGCGAGGAACAGGTGCCACAGTCTAAGGGCAGCCTGTTCCTTTAAACCAGAAAGTGGAAAATAATGTTTAGGGCAGAATCAGGCTAAGTGGGCGTGTAGGTTCTTTATTTGTAACTCATATCTTTAAGTTCTTTTCGATGTGAAAGGGAAGGTTACATGGTTTATTAAGAAACATGGATGTACTTATCATTTTGTTTGTCATGGTAGGTGTAGATTAGTGCATTACAGTATCAATGTGCATCTTTAAGTTCAGCTTTAGATCAGTCATTTGGTGACTTTTCAGGAACATAAGGAAGTTTTTGTTTTGCCTTGTCTAGTGGGTTTCAGTTTAAAAATATGGTCTCTAGTTTGGCCTTGAGGCCAGTATTGTTTATATTGAAAACAAATGGTGCATAATGACTGTTAGGTCCCTGCCTCATGGAGTAGGGAGAAGGCTCTAATCCAGCCGTGGGCAAACTACGGCCTGTTTGAAATGAATAAAACTAAAAAAAAAAAAAAGACCATACCCTTTTATGTAATGATGTTTACTTTGAATTTATATTAGTTCACACAAACACTCCATCCATGCTTTTGTTCCGGCCCTCCGGTTGGAAGAACCCATTGTGGCCCTCAAGTCAAAAAGTTTGCCCACCCCTGCTCTAATGGGAAGGGGAGGCTTTATCTGTATCCCTGGTATAAACAGACCATCTCTGGTCTCTCCTGCCGGTCTAGTCCTCCGCCGCTCACTAGAGGGCGCTGGAGGCCGGGAGCTGCGAGAGGTCTGCTGGCCCAGCGCCTAGACGGGCCTGTTCCCTTGATTAGGATCACAGGTAAAGACTGGGTAATCTACTTCCTTGATGTGTTAGGAAAGTAATTAATTGTTTAGGATGATTCTGCAAAATGTTTTGGATCAATAATATTTTTTTGTACTTCCCTCAAAGCTAATGCTAGTTTACATAATTTTGGAAAAATCAGTCTCAACATTACAAACTGTAAGCACTTCATGTTTTTTCCTGCTGATAAATATAAATTTCCGCCCCTTCCCAAGGAATTTTATGCTTTCTATCTATAGCTAGAAACATACTTGTTCATGAGATGTAATATGATATTAAAATCATGCCTCTGCTTGCTTTTCAGGGACTCCGAGCCCGAATCCTGGAGACGCTGGTCATGCTCCTGCTCCTGGCGCTGCTGGTCCTGGGGATGGTGTGGGTGGCCTCCGCGCTCGTGGACAAGGACGCGGCGAGCAGGGAGTCTCTGTACGGTGCGCTCACGGCTTGAACCGGTTTCTCCATGGAGCCCTGCTCACCACTCACTTTTAAAGCATTGAAGTAGTTTTTCGTGTAGTGAGCCCTTGTTAGTTTACAGAAGTAAGAAACCTTTAGAGACATTTAGGGAAGCAAAGACTGCTCAGGTGTTACCTGTGTGCAGAGTATCTTTTGTTGTTAATTGGTTTCTGTTCTTAAAATTCCACTGAGGCTTTTTTCTCCTTCTAGACAAGTGTTGCAAAGGGGTTATTTTAGGTCTTTTTGTTGTGCTGTTTAGGAATAATATGGTTTAGGCCCAAATAGGCAATTATGATGTTTACTGTACATTAATTCATAGTCAGCCTCTATCTCAATGTACAGTGTTTTGGATTTACTAAAAAACATTGACTTTTTTCACAGATCTCTGGGAGTTCTACCTGCCCTATTTGTACTCTTGTGTATCACTCATGGGATGTTTGCTGCTTCTCTGTAAGTATTTTTCTGACTTAATATTGATCGGAAAAGAGAGTTCTTCTGTGTTCTAGAGAATTATGGGAAATTTTCCAATGACATTCCTTACAGCTTAGAGAGTTTGAAAAAGTTGGCCCTTAACTTTATTTTTTATATTTTTATTGATTTTAGAGAGGGAGAGAGAGATAGAAACATCAATGATGAGAGAGAACCATTGATCGGCTGCCTCCTGCATGCCCCACACCGGGGATTGAGCCCACAACCCAGGCATGTGCTCTGACCTGGAATCGAACTGTGACCTCCTGGTTCATAGGTTGACGTGCAACCAGTGAGCTACGCCGGCTGGGTGGCCCTTAACTTTTTTTATGTTCAAGGTAAATTTTGATAAACTGAAACCTTGAAATAATAAGACACTTGTGTTGTTCTCTAAGAAAAACTTCTTTCACAGGGTTGGGGTAAAGGGTGGGTGGAGGGGGAGATACACACATGGTTGCACACATGCTCACATGCAGAGACCCCCCCCCCCCAAAACACAGACATAGATACACATGTGCACAGGCACAGACACACATTCAGGGACATACACACACACACAGATATGCACACAGACACACGCACAGACATGCACATATACATGCACATAGACATAGACATACGTGTGCACATGCACAAACCCTGCACAAACAGACACATCCACAGATATGCACACACACACACATGCACACAGACATGCACATATTCACGTGCACGCACATGGCCCCCATACCCTTAACTATTCTGACACTAGACTCTACTTTTGAATGGTAATGATAGAATTGTGTGTGATCAATTATGGTCTTTATTTTAAAGCTTGCTTAGTTTTACTTAAGACGTCACCACATGTCTCAGGGATATTATAAATAAGTGTTGTTATAAGGATTTAAGATGATAGTTGTCACTTTTAGACATTCTTGTCTGCTTCTCAGTTTCATTAGTGCTTGAAATCAGTCTGTTCTTTAGTTGGTTTTCTTTTTTTTTTTTTTTAAATATATTTTATTGATTTTTTACAGAGAGGAAGGGAGAGATATAGAGAGTTAGAAACATCGATGATGAGAGAGAAACATCGATCAGCTGCCTCCTGCACATCTCCTACTGGGCATATGCCAGCAACCCAGGTACATGCCCTTGACCGGAATCGAACCTGGGACCTTTCAGTCTGCAGGCCGACGCTCTAGCCACTGAGCTAAACGGGTTTCGGCTAGTTGGTTTTCTTTAGCTTCTTGTAAGTGAAAATGCTTATCATTCAGCTGCTAGAGCAGCGGTTCTCAACCTGTGGGTCGCGACCCCTTTGGGGGTCGAACGACCCTTTCACAGGGGTCGCCTAAATACATCCTGCATGTCAGATATTTACATTACGATTCATAACAGTAGGAACTTACAGTTATGAAGTAGCAACGAAAATAATTTTATGGTTGGGTCACAACATGAGGAACTGTATTAAAGGGTCGCGGCATTAGGAAGGTTGAGAACCACTGTGCTAGAGGCTCGCGTGTCCTCAGTCTTTAGCCATCACCTGTCCCTCGTCACGTATAGGAAGTGACTCGCCAGCCTCTTGACCATGCTGAGTAGCCTCCGACAGACACCGCAAGTCTGAAGCGGAGACAGAACTTTCTGAGAGCCAGTCTGACTTCGCGCGGTGTGCAGGCTGGCGGTCTGTGTGCTCGCAGTAAGCGTTGTCTGCCTCTCCCCGCAGTGTGCACCCCGGTTGGCCTGTCTCGCATGTTCGCCGTCATGGGCCAGCTGCTGGTGAAGCCGGCGGTGAGTAGTGGGAACCGTGTTGCATCCCCAGCCTTTGGTTGTGAACGCGCACTCAGACACAGCAGAAGACTATTTCTGTGGGTTTATGATTCAAATTGTGGTTGTTTTAATCCTTTTCATTTTTGGAAAGCACATTTGTTTTTGCTTTTAAAATACTAACTATAGGCACTCAGGTAAAAAGTCTGTAGAAGTTTTAAGACAGAGTTTACGAATACTTACAGATATTGTAGGTGTTCGTTACCTTAGATCAAATAATAACTGTTATGTTTTAAAATCTACTACATGGGCTATTTGATTTACAAAGCAGTTATGTTTCTGAAAATTTGCTGCATATTAGATCTTGTCCCTTTAATCTCAGAAGTACTGTATATTCATTTTCAATTAGTACTAACTCTAACAATCTGTCCCTAAGTTTCTTTGGCCTCTAGGTATTTTGTCAAATATTTCATAATATGAAAGCAGTTCTTAGCTGTATCTAGGACATTTGTCACTCAAATCACTGTCATGGATCCTCACTGCCTACAAACTGTAAACTATCAACATGCTACCACACCTTCCACAGTCTCCGCACTGAGTGTACCTGTAGCCGCCACCCTCCTGCACTCCCCGCCCCAAGTGACTTTAACTGTAGACTCGGCGGCCCTGCTGTGCTCCAGGCGCTGTGCCCAGTGCCTCTCCCTCGGAGCCTCTGCCCCCCAAGCCCTGCTGGCCTCCTCCAGCAGCTCTGCGGTCCGCTGCCCACTGCCATCTCTGAGCCGGCCCCACTGCTTTTAGCCAAAGTAGCTGAGCTCCTACAGCTCTCACTCCCCTCTGTGTCTTACTAGTAGTGCTTACTACATTTTCATGTCATAGGTTCGCTTTTCTTAGGGAGAAAATAAGGAAATGTAATAGATATTCTTTTAGTAAATGTGTGCTTAATTTTGAAAATGTTTTTTGTTTTTTTTAATCCTCACCGGAGGATATTTTTTCCATTGGTTTTTAGAGAGAGTGGGAGGGAGAGTAGGAAGAAGGGAGGGAGTGGAGGGAAGAGAGAGAGAAACATTGATGCGAGAGAGACACATCAATTGGTTGTCTCCTGCATGCACCCTGACTGGGGCAGGGATCTGACCTGCAACCCAGGTGCATGTCTTTGATCAGGAATCGAACCCGAGACCCTTTGGTGCGCAGGCCATGCTCTAACCACTGAGCATGCTAGCCAGGGCTTGGGCTTTTTTTAATATATTTTTTATATTTCCTTATTGGTTTCAGAGAGGAAGGGAGAGGAGAGAGATGGAAACATCAATGAGAGAGAGCCATTGGTCAGCTGCCTCCTGCACGCCCCCACTGGGGATCGAGCTCGCAACCCAGGCCTGTGCCCTTGGCCGGAATCGAACCCGGGACCCCTCAGTCCGCAGGCCGACGCTCCCTCCACTGAGCCAAGCCGGCCAGGGCTTGGGCCTTTTAATAAATGTCAGTCTCTTCCTATCTTCTTTAAACTAAAATTGGACTTCTTACTTGCTTCCTAAATGTGCACACAGCAGTTACCATGTACACCAAGCATGTCAAACTTAAAGGCTAACACGGCCAAATAAACAAGGTTTAAGTTTCTGTGGGCCGCAAAAAAAAAAGCTTCAATTTTCATAGAAACGTAGGTTTATTTCGATAGAGACATGAGTAATCGTTAACATAAAATAATAGAACATTTTAATGAAAATTAATATTTTTTCTTGAACATTAACTTACCAGACACTGAATAACTGCACAAATTAATAAGCGTAACACAAATAAACCTATTTTTCTTGTTTTCTGAAAGTGAAATATTTCCTGTTGCGCACACCAAACAAGTCAGTCCAAGACTAATGACGTGGCCATAGCCTGCTAAAGTATTCGCCGCTAGTATTAGTGGAGAGAAATGGTGTGCATGTGCGTAAGGTGCGTAAGGGAAACGAATGCAACATGATTATAGTAATTAGTCATTAGTGAACGTTGTAGTTCATTATTAATAATTATGTATAACATATTATAAAAATTAAGTTACAAAATTTTTATTAAAACGTTTCTTATATATCTTTATATTGGCTGGGCCACAAAAATATTCGTTGTGGGCCACGAGTTTGACATGCTTGATGTACACACAGTCCACCCAAGAACCACCGCCCTTGGAGACAGATGCGGTGGCCCCGCGTGCATTCACTTTCTTCCTTTCTCTGGTTTGTTTATGCATCTTGCCCTCTTTCTCCACTAGCACCTCCTGCCCTAAATTTTGGCAGAGGTGTGACATCCTGAGTGTGGTCTCGGGCTGCGTTCTGCTCTCGGAATGGCCACTTCTCCCTCTGTGTCTGACCCTGGTGAGGAAAGGCAGTGAGAACAAGCTCACACACAAAACCAACACCTTCTTCATAGCCCCTCCCACGCTTATTTTCCCCGGATTTGTCTATTATTAAGAGGATCCTGAAAACACTCATTATCTTTGCTGTGTCCTTGCACACGTAATTCACTCCCTCTCCTCCGGTGGCAGCCGCGCAGGCTCAGGGGTGGCTTCTCATTGGCTGGCTGAGTCACCTGCAGCTCTGGGAGTGGGACGCTTGCTCCAGGTCACAGGCTGAGGGTACAGCAGGGCTGGGTGAGAGCCTGGCTCCGGGCGCCGCGGCCCGCAGAGCTCCAGCATCCTCACCCGCTGCTGCGAGCACTGTGGGCGTGGTGTCACCTCTGGCTGGTGCCTCACCTCCTTTTGGTGCATTTAGCCACCAGGGAAGGCACTGCCACCACCAGCAGCACTGGCCAAGACCTTTCTCCGCAGCGGAGGTTGGGGATCTTTCTTTCCCTGTCCTTCTGTAACTGTATTTTCACTGCAGTTGTGACGTTTAAGTCATGTTTTGAGCTTATCACATCTTCCCTGGGTGCTGGAACACATGCCATGGAGGTGTATGCCTGTGTCTGACCCGAGTGGTTAAGGCGCAGGCTCCAAAGGCAGATGATTCTTCTTCACCAAACCCTTACTCCTTGACGATTCCAAGACGGGGTGGTGGCAGTATGTTTTTAGGGTATTGTAGACTCAAGGGCACAGTGCATGCAAACTCTTTCCTCAAATACAGGGGTGGGCAGAAGTGGGCCTGCAGCTGTGCGCGTGGAGAAAGGCAGGCACGCTCTGATGCTCGCAGGAGCTTTAGCAACTGTCACCCCACTTCTGCTCCCCCCCGCCGCCCCCGGGTGCTCCCGCCATCATTCTCACCAGCAGACCTGTGGGTCAGTCAGTATCTGACTGTTGCCAGTGTGAGGACGTCCTTTGTGCGTGTCAGACCTTAGGAAAGTATCAGCTGTCACCTGTGGTCCAGACAGGAGGCCCCAGGTGGGAAGGTCAGTCCCTGCACTCCACACACTCAGAGCCCGCCAGGTCCCCCAGCCGCCTGGTCCCCCAGCCCCACCTCCTCTGGGGCTTTTAGGGGAGCCCCCCTTTCCCAACTGGAAGGGACCCGAGTATTGTCCTCAGAGAGCCCTGTCTTCCCATCCCGCCTGGTCCAGGATGCTCCTCTTCTGTAGCTATTGTTACTCATTGCTATGCATGCTTCTTTTGTTATTAGTTCAGGCCAGAGGAGAGAGGCTGTCAGTACTTGTTCAGATCCTGGGAACTGTTGGGTTGCCAGCAGTCTGATGTGAATTCTGCAGACTTGGCACCTGGCGGGATCGTCAGCAGGAGCGGAGAGGCTAGGCGGCTCCATCCTGTTCTGTCCCTGCTCCTCACAGTCACTGCGTAGCTGGGAGCGTGGCCGGGAGTTAATCACACAGAACATGGTGCCACTCTGGCGTCCCCCCTGTTAGCACAGCTGTGACGGGACGTTCAGGGGGATCGTTTTGGAGACAGTGCGGATCACTGTCAGCCTAGTTTCTCCAGGCTCTTGTCTAAAGGGTGGTCTCAGCAACACCGTGAGGAACACTTGCAGGAAATTTCTAGTGTAGGGATGTCGATAGAAAGCATTGCCTGGTACTGGGTCAGTTTATGGATTTCTGGTTCTGAACATGATATGAGAAGTAGAGATGAGGAGCCAGTGTTGGGTGGGCGGCCTGCCTTCAGTTCTACACACTGGCCGGCATGGGGAGCCCACTGCAGTGAGCCTGCGACGGTTAGAGTCTGCACTTTGTCTGCCAGTGAGAACTGCAGAGTGGTTTCATCCTTTAAACTTAAAAAATACCCAATTAAATATATGTAGATTTTGTGGTTATCGGCTTTTGATGTATGTAGTTATACACTGAAATATTTTTACTTAATTTGTAAATCAAGTAGTTTGAGCATTTTTATTTTAGACTAGAGGCCCAGTGCACGGAATTCGTGCATTGGGGGGGGGGTGGTCCCTCAGCCCGGCCTGCACCCTCTTCAATCCAGGACCCCTCGGGGCATGTCCGATTGCTGGTGTAGTCCCGATCCCGCAATCCAGACATCCCTCTCGCAATCCGGGACCACTGGCTCCTAACCGCTCGCTCACCTGTCTGCCTACCTGATCACCCCTAACCCCTCTGCCTGCCTGCCTGATCACCCTTAACCTCTCTCCCCTGCCAGCCTGATTGCCCCTAACCACTCTCCCCTGCCAGCCTGATCGCCCCTAACTGCTCTGCCTCGGCCCCCGCCACTGTAGCTTTGTCTGGAAGACATCCAGTCTATCCAGTCTAATTAGCATATTACCCTTCTGTTAGTATAGATTCCTAGTCATTGAATGGTAATCTGAATCCCAGGCCCAACAGCCGCTATTCTCATCAACGTGATTTTGTGACATTGCCGCATTCAACAGCCTGGTCTTCCCTTTAGATTCTGGAGGACCTGGATGAGCAGATGTACATTGTTGCCCTCGAGGAGGAGGCGCTGCAGAGACGGCTCGCCGGTATGTACGCAGAGCACTGAGACGGGGAACCTGGCATGTAGCTCAGAGAAGACAGGGTCTGGTGCAGCGTCTCAGGCCTCTGCTCTGCACGTGGCAGGACTCAGAGTGAAAGGGCCTTTGGGAGGAAGGGCTGCGAGACTGGCGGCTTTTGGTCACACTCCCGTGATTCCCCGGCTGATCCCCTAAAATTGAGCAGGGCTGGTTCAGTTCCGAGACCCTGGCCACCACGCTGTGCCCACTTCCCTGTCCTTGTGTGGCAGCACCGCGACCCTGGCTGCTGAGGTGGCAAAGCTGCATGTTGTCCGGTGAGTCACACCGCGTCTCATTCCCTCCTGCGGACTCGGGGTAGACGCATGTGTCCCTGTGGCACTGAGGCTGTGACCTGCTCTGGGTGGCACCTGGGACTCTGCTGGCATGTGGGAAGGCATTCATCGTCAGCTGATGACTAAGTGAGCACAGCACAAATTTTAAAGTTTAATTTTTAATTATTGGTTGTTTTTGGCTTTAAATGAAGAACCAACAAAGAAAAGAGTAATGATATGATGAAAAATGACAGTTTGTGTAAGTTTTATTTTTATTTTACTTGGGTGATTTTTACCCTGCACACTTTTCTCTTACAAAGTAATTTTAATGTTGAAAATCTGCCACCAAGTTCAGGTTATGGATAGCTAACTGTATTTCAGAATCCTAATTCAAGGGTAGGTATAAAGTGAAAGGTTACTTTAAGTATAAAATATTGAGAAATAGGAAGATATATATCTACTTTCTTTAATTACAAATAATGAATTTAAATCTTCAACCCAAGAGTGTTCATAACATTTAGAGCGTGTTCTTAGAGGAAAGAATTTCAGGTTGTATCTATTCTAGAGAATTCTTGTCAGTAATATTTGTGCATTTTGATACCAGTAACTTTTAGAGTGGAACTACATGTATCTTTTATCCTTCTAACTTTATTGAAGTTACTTTAAGATTTAAACCTATTTAATTCAAGAATTGTAACTTCAGTCAGTGCTGTTGACTTTATAACATATTAAAGTGGCAAATATAATGATAAATTTGTCTTATTTAGAGAATCATGTGGGTGTGTAATAAACACGCCAGAATTGTAGGAACCAGCGGTCGCCAACCTTTCGGACCACCAGTTGCCCCCAGACCACCGGTTGGCAACTGCTGGTAGGAACCATGTCGAGCAGACGCCCCAGTATGGGGACTGTTTGCACCGACCCATGCGCTATTTCAACCTCCAGGCCAGGGGCTGCGACCCAGGGAGGTAAAATATAGTGCTCCATGAATTAAAGAATTTGAGTCAAATCTAATCCAAACCAAATCAAATCAAAACCATAGCCTTTACTCACTTTGCCCTTCATAGCAGGAAAATGATGCGGCAGAATCCTTCTAGATGCTTTGGCTGCTCCAATCCAGAGGGGTTCACTACACCCAGAGACACTGAAAGGGAAATGTCTGCCAGAGGCTGATGTGTCACAAGAGGCAGCTAAGCCAGAATGGCAGACCCCCAACCAGCTCAGAAATGTCTGCGGCAGCGGGGGCGGTGATGGGAGCACCAATGCTGGGTAGAATCTACCTGCCTCGGGAGATGGGAACCAGCACTGAGATCTGTGTCTGCCCTCGGGGAGATGGGGAGAGATGGGGGCCAGTGCTGAGATCTGTGTCTGCCCTCGGGAAGATGTGGGGAGATGGAGAGAGATGGGGGGAAATGGGGAGAGATGGGGGGAGATGGGGGCCAGTGCTGAGATCTGTGTCTGCCGTCGGGGAGATGGGGGGAGATGGGGGCCAGCGCTGAGATCTGTGTCTGCTGTCGGGGAGATGGGGGGAGATGGAGAGAGATGGGGGGAGATGGGGGCCAGCGCTGAGATCTGTGTCTGCCGTCGGGATCTACCCTGACCGCTCTGCTGGCGGGTGGGTCACAGTCTCCCCGCCAGACTCCACCTGCTGGTGAGCCAGTGGCTGTAGTTTTGCTGTTTGCCGCTGGTGGACTGTTTCAGGTGGAAACAGGCTTGGAACAGAAATAGCTCCGGGACAGAATGGACATTTGGACTAGTTACATGATGGACTGTGAGCTTCAGTGTGTCTGTCAGTGTTGTGCAGAGGGAAAACACAAGAGGCAACGGAACAGCATTTTATGATTTGCTGTTTTAAAGAAAATGGAGATCCTAGAGGTTAGTAATAGAAATCATCCCCATGGGTTTATTACTCTAGGATTATGTGAAATGTGTTGTAAGTTATATTTTAAATCATTTTTTTAAATTGAAGTTTAACTTTTTTATTCTGGGCTACTAAAAAGAGTTGCAGTATGATCAAAGTAAAAAACACTTAAAACAGTAATGCAGATGACACGGTGACGAACCCAGAATGCATGGCGTTGTTCTGCTGATGGCACACAAGCATGCGACACGCATCCCATGAGACTCGGACATCCGTGTGGTTTGCTCTGAGCCCCGCTTCCCGGGACCTGGAAAAGCCGAGCCCCTGCCGGAAGCGTGTCCCTCAGGAGCAGCTCTGCCCGCTTCTGGGAGGCCCTCGGCTGCTTTGGGGGTTATGACGTCACTAGAGCTGAATTTTTGGGCTGGCTTTTCTAGGCAGCCTGGCTCTGAAGGCTGCCGGCCTGACTTCACGTTCCCGTCTGACACATGAGGGCCAGAGGCTGTGTCCTTGGTGACAGTGTCGCCGCTTCCTGAAGGCTGTGAGGAAGATGCGCTGCCTGCATGCCACGGTCAGGCAGCATCCTCCCCTCCCGTGGGCTGCGCGCCTTCTTCCCAGCAGCACTTTTGGGCAGGCGAGTTCCAGCTGCGTCTCAAGTCCATGGACTAGCTGCCTGAAGACAGAGGAAAAGGGCGAGAATCTGCGAGACTATCCGGGACTGAGACACTGGGAAAAGGCATCCTGGGGAGCAGGGAGGAAGCCCAGCTCTGCTGGTTCAGACAGCCCTCCGGGCCTCTCCTCACGGCAGCATAGAGACCGTCTCCAGAGCCCCCGCGATCCTGGCAGGGCTCCCGCCACTTCGCCCAGCACCCGGTCTCCCAGCTGGTCAGCCTCCGGCTCCCCTCCCCTCGGACCCTCCTGCATCAGTCAGTCTGGGCGTCGCGTGCTCTCAGCCCTATAGTGCTCCTGCTTCAGTCGGAGACAAGCCCACCCACCCTCTCCTGCATCTCCCCGCAGCTGCCCTCACTGTCCCCTCCCGCAGGCATCCAGTGGTTGCCTCCCTGCTGCCCCACCCGCCCTGTCTGTGCCCCTAGAGCTTTTGGACTTGAGTCCCTGTTGTGAAGCTGATGCTGCCGCCACCCCTCCCTCCCCCTCATGTCCTGGTCCTCCCACTCTGTCCTCAGCACTTTCCCCCAACTGACTTCCTGTCTACCTTTTCCCGTTGTGTCTCTGCAGTGGAGCAGGGACACCACAGGGCAGGGGTTTCTGTTAGTCCCTTCCGTGCCCCTGGCCCTGGGACATTGCCAAATGGCGTGGTGTGGTGGAGGGTGGCACTTCCCCGGGAGGTGAGGAAGATGCAGGGTGTGCTGGGGGCATGAAGGCAGAGTTTCAGGGACAGAGCCCAGGTCCCACAGCAGGGCCCCTGAGGACAGGCCGGGTCCAGGGGTGTTCCCTAGGAAGCAGAAGTAAGGGGACATTTCCCAGTTGGTCACGTGCAATATGAGCAGTGAAGATGCCTTCTCCAGACCCTACAGAGGAGCCCCATCGGTAGTTGTGGTGGGAAGCCCTTCGGACCTCCTGCCCAGGGCCGCGCACATCCTCAGCACACGCACAGTGGAAGTGAGGCAGAAGCATTAATGGAAATAGCGAGCCTTTGTGTGCGTAGCCGATGGGTGTGCAGGTAACCTAGAAGCACCGCAGTGGGCAGGGATTAGTTTTTGGTAAGTTCAGAACCTTCACAGTTCTTTTAATGTAATTTATTTAAATTTAATGTAATTTATTTTAAAATGTTGTAGGCTTTGAACTTGATTCAGTGCAGTTTTGTTAGGTACGATTTTTACCTTCATGATAAAAACTTAGTGTATCATTTTTGGTAGCAATTACTTTCCTGCTTGATTCTAACCTTTTTCAAAGCCTGGTCCTCCAAAGCTTCATTACTCCTTATTCTCAGAGGCATTTTCCCTGAGTGTCAGGTTGTAATGCCTTTGTATCTGAAGAATAAAGACTTTCAGGAATAACACATGGCCCTTCCGTGGCACGGGCGGCCGGCAGCATTGTGTCCTCAGTCCTGGAATCTTGCTGTTCAAAGCTGGGTAAGTTGCCTGGCGCTTTTAGGCGATGCCCAGGTTTAGGGAGGCGTTTGTGCTGCTCTAGAGTAATGGGTCCTGTCAGAGCACCTCCCAGCTTCCTGGGCAGACAGCTGGCTGACCGGTCATTACTTGCCTGACGTCTTCTCCTAACACCTTTAACAGTGTACGGAAGCTGAGGTCAGATTTCATCTGATGGCCTCCACCTCACTTTCATCTCGACGCTACGGTTCTTCTACGCCAGCAATGGGCATTTTAAGAATCCTGTGTACCGTGGGGTCTATCACGGAGTGACAATAACTCAGATTTGCCGTCTCTGGGCCCTGGTGGTTTGGGTGTGGACACAGACAGCAGGCATTGCTGTGGGGAACAGCCCTTCTTTGGTAAGACTGTGATAGAGGAAAGTGTTTAGTAATATCCTGACGTCCCGAGTGCACAGAAACGAATATCGATCCTACTGGTAAAACTAGTTAAATGGCTTCTTTCTAGTAAGATATCAACGTTTGGGTTTAAGGGTCTGAAACAGGAATTCCTTGTTACAGTTCGTTCAGTTTTTAGGGTCATATCATCACTTTCTAGATAATAAAATGTGGCCCAAAGAGATTGTTACCAGTGAGACGATGTGGCGGAAGAGATGTCAGCTAATGGGGAATGCTTTGGAGTAACCAGCTATAGAATATATTTGAGTCAGGTGTCATGTCGTCTCTGAAACTCAGAGAGTGATCGCTCTATGTAATTGGTCCAAATTTGTTAGGAGAAGATGCATTTCATACACATGGGCTACTTGTTCAGCCACAGCCTGCTTGGATAACAGTATTCTCGATAGTAACATGTATAAATAAATAAGTTTGAAAAATAATCCAGGATAAGGTCTATCAGTAACTTATCTACAGTAGAAAAAAGCCAAACTGTTACTTTAATTGTACATTTGTTTCAAATTTTCTATCTTGCATGTCATCATTGAAAGTATATTTACATTTTCAAAATTGTGCTGGATGTTGAAAGTTTTATGTTCCTTACTTAGCCATATATTTGTGGCTATGTCAGAAGTAAATAGAAACTCAAATTGTAACAAATATTAGCATTCTCATGGAGTAGAACTAGGGCTTCTGAGTGTGTGGTTGTCTGTCTCTGAATAGTAACAGTGTCTGTCTGTCCTGTGGAGGTGCTGTGGAGAGCTGAGGGTCCCGGCTTCAGCTTTCACAAGCGAGGCAGCACCTGGCGCTCGCTGGCGCTGGTGGAGGGGATGGAGCCTGTTCACTCTGAGTTATCCGGTGCCTTGGGATTTAACAACAGAATTGTTTGCCTAAATGATTTGAAGTAATTAGAAGTACTTGAGTGACTCCACATTCTTGGTTGTAGAGACCACCTTGGTCAGTTTAAAGTACAAAGTATAATCAACACTGTAAAGAGTTATTACTTAGATTTTCTAATCAACTTTTTTTGGTTATATGCTAAATTAAAAAGTTAACTATGAAAATAATCAGTTTATTCTGGAGGTATCTACTTCCAAATATGTGACTAAGTTTAGGGTGCTGCTCAGCTTAGGGCTACCTGCCTATTGCTTCATGGTTTTGGACTGTTTACATACCAGGCTGGAGACTTACATTTGTTTTAAGAAATGCAACATTGTATATTTTAAATTAAATTGTTAGTGTCTGCTCTTGAACACATGAATGTCAGTTAGGACTGTCTTGTGTATTAAGAAACGTATAAGGTCAGATTAGTTATTGAAGAAATGCTGGGCTTTGGGAAACTCTGTTATCTTGGAAGTAAAATATGAAAATATTTTCAATAGCACACTAGTTTTTCAGCTGGGAAAAGTTGCCTTCAGCTATTAGTTTTCCTGCATCCAAAGAGACGGGTGGAGCAGGATCAAAAATACTTATTTGATCAAAGTTATTGGCTCTGAAGTCATTCTTACCAGCGTGAGGAAGATGAAAGGCATTGTTTTTACTGCACGCTAGTAACAGCGTAATTTTGTACTAATTGGTGTTGAACTGCCAATCACCTGGGGGAACGCAAATAGATACTCTTACAGGTTCCTTTGAGGTAGGGGAGTCTTGTGTCGAGGCTGGAAGGAAAACAGAATAATACCGTTAAATTGACCTTAAATGAGCTGCCTTGTGGTTGTCTTGGAGAATCCCTTTTTATTTTTCCTGACTAGCCCAAACAGGCTTTGTCTACCAGTTTGACTTATGGACTAGACAGTGCTGACGGTGAGCGTTCAGAAGCGTTTTGAAATAAAGTGGTGATGATATAATTCTGCAGATATCGTGGTGATTTCGTTGGTGCAACTTACGTGTGTGTGACATTCCAGGGTTTGTTTGCAGTTGTCATGGTTCCTCCCAGCAGCCATCCTGTCCTCTGGTCACTTACAGTGGAGCATTCTGCCCAGACAAAAGGTGGCTGTTCTCACGGGGATGGCGATGTGTACAGTAAAGGGCGGGGTGGCTTTGAAATCTGTTATTCCAGACAAAGCTAGTCATTTCATGAAAGCACCATTTTTCTGAGGACGGTCAGAATGTCTTCTTGATTTTTGTGTGCAAATCAGTATTTATTAACTGCCTACTGTGTACCTCGTATGTGTTACCCTAAAAAACTACAGCATTTCAGAATACCACTTTCATTATTTTACTTGGAAAAATAGCACACTGGTTGGTCTAGGTATTTGTATTGAGGTTTGTAGACACCATGCCCGCCAAATAGTGTCTCGCTTCTTAATTTTAAAGTGGCAGCAGCAGCCCAGTCTGTTCTGACAGCTGCCTCCTTTCAGAATTCGGGATGCTCGTCGGATGATTTTTGTAGTCCTGGGCTGGTTGCTGGAATAGCACTTCTGTACAGGCAGAGGGAATGGGATGTATTTGGAATTGTATTGGTAATTAATCACATATAGAAGTTAAATGAGCATCACCCTATAAAAAGTAAAATATACTTATCTCTAAGACTATTCAAAGACACTTGAAAATGGTACACTGCTCTGCCCCCTTCCTGTAGATCTCCTGTTAAATGGAAATATCCATTAACTTTGTAACTTAATTCCTTCCCTTTTTGCTTTGGCTACCAGAAACTCTGTATTTTCGTTGTTAAAATTGAGTAGTTTGGGGACATACTACTTGAATATCTCTGTACTCTCTTCATCCCCATTCTCTTATAATTGTATACTGAGAGTAAAATGATTAAACTCATGAGTTCTGGGGACACTGTGTATCATCCAGGGCATTGGAGACCTCAGTGCCCCGAGCGAGAGGGTGTTGGGTCTGTCTCCAGTGAGCGATGGAGGGACAGTTCTCATCTCCTAGAAACAGGCAGGACTGAGGGCTCAGGAAAGAGGCCCCGAGTCTCCTCGTGCACGCCCACCCCATGCCTGTGTGGGGAGCAGGGGAGAAAGGAGTGCTGCTTGCACCCCCGGAGACCACATAGCACTCTAGGCTCCTTCCTCCTGAGTCCTGCTTCTGTCTGTCCATCCCGTCCCCAAGGACAGACATTGTGGGGCCTCCCGGCGGTTTCCTTGAGGCCCGTCTGACCTGACGAGGTGTGCAGGGTGCAGGCAGCGGGAAAGACAAACGACCTCTCCCCAGGCTGGTCTGTCTCCATGGGCCCCTTTTCTGTCCTAAGCAGTCAGTCCATTGCAGTGGCTTATGACAGTGACTGCTGACGGATAGAAGCTCACCCTCAAAGTATGTATCTTTCTCTCTCTCTTTCCTTCTTGTTTCTTATATGTAAGTAAGGCAGGTGAAAGCAAGAAGAAAGGGGAACTTAAAGTCCACAAAACAGAATTTAAGTTGCAAAGCATTAAAACAAAGAGGGTCGTTATGTGCTGATAAAAGGAGTGATCCATAAGGAAGCTGTAACAATCCTATAGGAACCAAAAACACACACGCAGAAAAACTTAGACAAATACAAACACATAATAAAAGTCCAAAACCGGGAGGGAGCCTCTCCCAAGGACAGCTGTCGGAGGGACTTCAGTTGTTCTGTGCCAGAGCTCAGCAGATGCGAGAGAAAGAATATGGAGCTAGATAGACCTTCAGAGAAGCCAGCAGGAAACACGACCAAGGCGAGCCCAGGTGTTGGATAAACACGAAAAGGTGACTGACCACCTTTAGGGAAATGCAAGTTAAAGTAACAGTAAGGAAGCGTGGTGACAAATCAGATGGGCAGAACTTAGAGTTATGACATCCAGGCCAGGGAAGAGTATGGAAAAGGTACTTTCAAAAGCTGTTGGTAGAAATGTAAATTATTGTGACAATATAGGCTATTATAATAAACTGGAGGCCCGGTACACAAAAATCATGCATGGGTGGGGTCCCTCTGCCTGGCTAGCGGTTGGGGGTTGGGGCCGATCAGTACTGTCTCACCCAGTCCCGATTGGGGCCGATCGGGGCCGGTGGCTGGGGAGGGACCATAGAGGGACCACAGAAGGGCTCCAGGCCGTGTCTGGCCCCATCTCGCCCAGTCCCGATCGGCTGGACCCCAGCAGCAAGCTAACCTACCAGTTGGAGCATCTGCCCCCTGGTGGTCAGTGCACATCATAGCAACCAGTCGGTGGACCACTGGGTCGGACACTTAGCATATTAGGCTTTTATATATATAGATTGTAACTCACAGCGCAGAATGCTCAGCACGCACTTTCCTTCCAGTCCCTGGTCTTAGAAACCTCATGTCCTTCCAAGGCTCTGCTCAGCCTCTTCAGCTGCCACATGAAGTTGCATCGTGTGTGTGGAAACCCTTTGCAGGCTCCATGGGTGTGTCTTTACTTCGCTTCAGTTCAGATTACCCAACATAAGGAGACACCCTCATTATCAGATAACACTATCGTGGTAAGACCCCTGCTCAGCCTACTGCAGTGGTTTTAAATAGGTCATGGGTCACCCTAGATGGTTTACCTCAGTGGATAGAGCCATGGCCTGCAGACTGAAGGGTCCTGGGTTCGATTCTGGTCAAGGGCACATTCCTGGGTTGTGGGCTCAATCCCTAGTAGGGGGTGTGCGGGAAGCAGCAGATCAATTCTCTCTCATCATTGATGTTTCTCTCTCTCCCTCTGCTTTTCTCTCTGAAATCAATAAAAATGTATTAACAAAAATAATAAATAGGCCATGAATCAAACGTTGCTGCTCTCCTTCCAGTCCCCTCACCCCTCTTTTGTCTTTGCTTTCCCCCCCTTCCCCCCCCCCCCCCCCCCACACACACACGTTCTGCTGGGGTCTGTAAAAGGGTCAGGATTTCAGCTTCAACCAAGGATGACATTTCCACACGGCCCTCCTTCCCCGCCCATCTCTGTCCCCAGTCCTGTGGGGTCTCTCCTTCCCTCCCCTCCATCCAACTTGGTGGGCCCTGCTCTGCCCCCTCCTCCTGCAGCCTCCTGTCTCCAGCTTCCCCCTTTCTCCTCTGGGGGCAGAGCTCCCCAAAGGCAGTGCGGAGCAGGGCTGTGTGGGGCGGGGCTGTGTGCAGAATTGTGCGGGGCTAGCCCAGGCGGGGCCTTGGAGGAGAGCTGGGGTGACGGGTCACAGGGAGGAGGAGGGAGGGATGTGGAGCCTGTCCTGTGGGAGAGGCACCAGGCTCCTCGGCTGCCCCCACCCAGCAGCTTTTTTAGGCTCCTTTGCAGCTGTCACCCTCCCCCCTCACTGCCTCCCACTTCCTTTCAAGTTTTGGACTCGGGTTTCTCCGACTCAGTCCCGCCCCCCCTCTCTGCTGAGTCCCCAGGAGCCCGAGGCTGCCCCTTGGCCTCGGGCAGGTGCACCTGGCCTGTCCTCCCCCCCCCCCCCCATGGTGCCACCCACTCTCTTGCAGTAGTTAGTGAAACTTAATAAAAAGAAGCAGCTCTGATGATTATAAATTGCATACTGAGAATGCCACAGGCTGCGAAGGGCTGCGCAGTCCACAGCTCTTGGATCAGGCCTCTCAGATCATGTGTAGCAGCCTCCCGTGCCAACCAGCCCCTCCTGGCTCCTGCCCGCCTCTGCCCAGGGCTCGGGCCAAACCCTGGGAGCTTCCTGACGGCTCTCACCTCACACCTCACTTTCCAATCCAGCGCCTGCAGCAAGCTAGCCTATTGGTTGGAGCATCTGCCCCCTGGTGGTCAGTGCACATCATAGCGACTGGTCAAGGAGTCGAACTCCCAGTGAAATTCTGGTCTAGGGGACAATTTGCATATTAGGCTTTTATTATATAGGATTATAATATTTGGGGGGAAGTAAACCTTTAACACGTTAAACGCCCAGTCACCAGTGACTGACACTATACTTTTTGTCCGGAAGACAAAACAGGCTGGGTGCTTAACGTGTTAAATATCTCCTATATGTCAGTGTTCACACCCTTTGACTCAGCAGAGTGTGTTTTGGGAATCTGCACTACAGAAATAACAGACCAGAATGACCTGGGTGTGCCTGTAGACATGTGTACTGCAGCATTGTTTGTATGCATCCCATCGGAGGAACTTGACTATTCATAAGTGGAATAATCTTGAATAAAGCTGAAGGATGTCCACACTCTGGAATATTACGTATTCAGCTGTTAAGGATTTGTCACTGTCAATGTGGACACATCATTGACTAGGAAAGCAAGTGGAAAAATAATGCATCTGATTCAACCCATCCTTATAAACCCCATGCAAGATATATGTGAATGTGTGAATACGCACCTGAATATGAAGAAAGGCGTGGACGCGTCAACCACATGGTCAACTGTTGTCACTGTAGGAAGGTGGGATGGAGAAGAGATCTTGATTTTCTTTGACTTTATAATAAGCACATAATGCTTTTATAATTAACAAAAATTAATAATAGATCCATTAAGAATTTTACCAAAGTAATACATTTTCTAGGAAATGTAGTGTTTCATCATGGATGTTTTAAGTGGTTAAAAAATGTATGTACTTTTCTGTGAATCACAGCAGCATTTGTTTTCATTCTCTATAATCAGCATTTGCAATGTGTTATTTTTATATTTTAATGGGATGTGAGGGCCACCTGTTCTATACTCCTAGGTGTTCTGTTGTTTTACTTCTAAACTATGTTTGCTTTCCACAGGACTGTCTTCACCAGCGGACTACAATGTAATGGAGCTGGAACAAGAACTTGAAAATGTAAAGATTTTTAAGACAAAATTAGGTACATTTTCCCCCTTGACTTGATTTCTTATTAAAGTCTTTCCTGTAGTCTGAAATATTAAAAAACGCATTAAATCTTTAGTTTATGTTACAAGCTTCAATCTGTCCAAGCCATTTGGGGAGAGGATAAGCATGCATCGACTCACTTTTTGTTTTGTTTTTTCATGTTTACAAAATGAATTTTCAAAACAAACTGATTTTTAAAGGTGTCGTTCTATTGTCTTTTCACTTGCATTATTCCTGACAAGTAATCATCTGTCATCTTTATCTTTTATTGTGTCTTTATCTTCTTTTCAGATCTCCTCTTTATCATTGATTTAGAACAATTTTATTGTGATGTGCCTTTGAGTAATTTTATTTATGTTTCTTATCCTTTGAGTTCATTGATTTTTTTTTGACCTGGGAAATTATAATTGTCATCTCATGTGGAAACTTTTTGCCATTACTTTTCCAAGTATTTTTTTCTTCTTCTGTCTGTGCCTCCCTTTCCAAGGACTCCAATTTCATGTACAGTAGCTCTTATAAAGTTGCCCCATAACTCAAGGATGTTCCCTTACTTTTCATGTGGTTTGTTTTCCTCTGTGTGTTTCATTTCAGATAGTTTGTATTGCTATGTCTTCATGTTTACTAATTTTTTTCCTCTCAGTGTTAGTCTGCCTTTAATCCCACCTATTGTATTTATTTCTCAGACACTGCCATTTTTATCTCTTGAAGTTCTGTTTAGGCCTGTTTTATATCTTCCATATGTCTAATGAGCATCTTTAATTTGATACCCACCTTTTTGAAAATATGGAATACAGTTTTAATAACACTTGTAATGTTTTTGTCTGCTAATTCTAACATCTATGTTTATTCTAGAAGAGTTTCAATTGATTGACTTACTATATTTTTGTGCCTGTTTGCATGCATGGCAACTTTGGGTACTAGCTACTGTGAATCTTACATTGTTCAGTGCTAATGTTTTTGTATTCCTGTAAGTGAGGAACTTTGTTTTGGGATGCAGTGAAGTTACTTATAAACAGTTTGATATTATCAGGCCTTGCCTTGAAGACTTGTTAGGCTGGGCCAGAATGACATTTCGTCTAGGGCAGTGGTTCTGTCGCGACCCCTTTGGCGGTCGAACAACCCTTTTACAGGGGTCGCCTAAGACCATCCTGCATATCAGATATTTACATGACGATTCCTAACAGTAGCAACATTACACTTATGAAGTAGCAACGAAAATAATTTTATGGTTGGTGGGGGGTCACAACATGAGGAACTGTTTTAAAGGGCCAGAAGGTTGAGAACTACTGGTCTAGGGCTACTAGTAGTAGTTCCCTGCTACATCCTACCCAGTGTCCCAGTGTCTTGAGGGAGCAGCATGGTTCTTGACCCTTTGTGATTGTTGTATGCTGTTCCTTTTACTCATTTTGGGGTGGTGCTTTCATCAGCCGTGGGTGCTTTCTTCACATACCAGAACTGATCATTACCCTCCTTCAGTCCTCGGGGTTTCTCTGTGCAATAGTCTCCTCTCTGGCACTTGCTCTGCAAAATCCTGCTGACTTGGTCTCTCCAGACCCATTGTATGTCCTCAACTCAGGGATGGAACTGGGCTCTGCTTGGGTTCCTCCTCCCTGCACCAGGGCCCGCCTGGGAGCTCTCCCTAGACAGTGAGCTGGGGCAGACACAGGGCTTGAGGGTTTGTTCCCCATCTTTCAGAGGCCATTGCCCTTCAGTGATCAGATGTCCCAGGCTTGAAAACTGTTGTTTCATATACATGTATTTTTTGGTCTTTAAATTGTTTCAGGCTGGACAGTAACTCTGGTCCCCAAGACAGTTGTTACTCTGTCTTCAGTAGGGCAAGTTGAATATTATGTTGTTGAAAATCATATATGCAGTTCAATCATTTTCATTTCGTAAACATCATTACATTGCTGCAGGTTACTTTCTTCATCCTGCTGTTGACGGATGTTTGAAATGTTTCCAGTCTTGTGCTAATGTGAATACTATTGGTATAGACATTCTTCTACGTATCCCTTGGTACAAGTGAAATTATAGGATCACTGGGTGTTTCTGTACAACGTTTTCAGATAACCCCAAACCTTCCCAGGTAGTTGTGTTACTTTGTATTCCTGTGAGGTACCAGTAAAGCTCCCTGCTGCCCCCCATCCTTGCCAACAATCCACGGTGCTGGACTTCTCCATTTGTTCCAGCTCAGGGCATCCGATTTGGTGTTCAGTTTGCATGATCCTGGTTTGTGTTTCCAGTGTTCATTTAGCTTCTGCTTGAAAAACATTTGTAAGTATTTCATTTAGTGCTGGTTTGCTGGCAACAAATTCTCTGTTTTTATCTGAAAACATTTTTACTTTGCTTTCTTGTTTGTGGGGCATTTACATGCAACTTGGACTCTTATGGGTAATTTCCGTCACTGTAAAGACGCCGTCCAGAGTCGCCTCAGTGCCCTTGGGTCGGCTGCTAGATTTCCTTTTGTCTTTGTCTTTCTACGGGTCTTCCTTCACTTCTTTTCAGCTGTTGTAACTGTCGTCAAAATGACCACACTCTTACCTTTAACTACAATGTTTTTCAGTTCTAGAAACTCCATTTGATGATTTTTCTAGATTCAATGTGTGCCATTTGCCATCTCATCATTTGTCTTAGTGAGCATGTTACTCAGTTACTTTAAGGCCACTATCTGATAAGCCCACTATCTGGATCAGCTGAAAGTGTTTCTGTTCTTTTTTCCTTTGTTCTGCCTCCTGGTAATATTTGAATAAACGCTAGACACTTTTTATGTGTCACTGTAGAAACATGGTGATAGTCTCTTCTTTTTGAAAGGACTTCCTTTAGCTTCTGGCAGGCAGTTAGAGTAGGGACAGATCCCTTTAATCTGAGATAGTTGGAGACTGGGTTTTGGCCTTTACTAGGGGGTCTATTTCTAGTTTGGTATTGCTCCTAGAGTATAGCTTCTCCTTGGTCCTGAAAGCCTGGTTGTTTTGTTGTTGACTGTTATGCTGTCTTCTTCATGAACCTTGAACTCTAGTTTTACCTTTCAAGAAACATAAGCCCGATGGAGCTCAGCTTGGCTTCTCTACCCCGAGCTGCACCCTCTGTTCCTCTACTCGGCGCTGAGCTTTGCAGGGGCAGTGGCTGCATCGGGCTCTCCTTCCTCTCCTCTTCTCTGTCATCCTAGCCTCTCAAGTGCTGACGGCCTCAGTCGCCCCAAACTTCAATTTTTGTCTCCTTGGCTCTGCTGAGTTTGCTGAAAGCTTTGCTTTAGGAAAGTGGGTTTTCTTTCACCCACTGATTTCTGCTTATTTCTCAGCCTTGTGGGTCCATGCAGTTACATCTGGAAAATGTCGGGGAAGGAGTGTGCCTTCATTTCACAGACACTGGCCCCTCAGTGTTGATTGTCATGGTGATTCTGACACCTTCATACAGATTTTCAATAAAGTGAGTTTGATCCACCTTCTCCAGGTGTTTATGGCCTGGGACAGTGTGACGTGAGGGAGCCCCTTGCAGCCCAAAGTGGAAGTCTGCTCTCAGCCTCTAGCAATGGGGGTGATGTGAGAGTAGAGGGGATTTTTACTCCTGTTACTTTAGTCATTCAAATCTGTATCAATATGTAAACCCACGCCAAATAAAAATATCTCTATATTTTCAGAGTAAGCTATAAATTAACATTTTATTTCATTAGCAATTGAAATGTCTTTAAAGAGCTAAAATTTAAGCATCACAGGACTAAGTTGTTTAATGTAGCAGACTAACTCTAAATCTCTGATTTTTATGGCTTGTGGAGGAAAATGTAAAATAATTTGTGTTTTTTAAAAATTATATAAAAATAATGCATTCTGGTTATAGTAGTAAGGAATAAAAATGGGAATGTGAAGAGGATTTGGGGCCATTTCTGAAATCTTCTGTTGTGTCGTTTCTCCTACTAGAGAGGCGGAAGAAGGCGTCGGCTTGGGAAAGAAATTTGGTGTATCCTGCGGTCATGGTTCTCCTTCTCATTGAGACGGTAGGAATTGAAATTAATTCCTGGTTGCATAAAGCAAATTATTTGATATTTACTTTACTGTTTGAATATGGCAATTCCCTCAGCGAAGTGCAGGTAAACTGGTTTTCTATTAGTAAGATTAAAATGCATCCATGCTTCTATGTGCAAAAACTTGATAGAACCAAAATAGAAATGAATAGTAATTTTTAAAAAGTCCTCAAGCTTATCTATTTCTTCGTGAAAGCAGGAAATTCATTCTTTGTTTCATTGAAAATGCAGAACAGAGGAGGTGCTGAAAACACTGTCAGCTCACGGAAGGCTGTGGGCGGGCGTCAGGGAGCCAGTTCTGATGGATTATAACTATTTGTAACTTGGGGTGGGGGGAGGTTGGATTTCCAGTTGGTGAGATCAGTGAATAAGTGGATCTGTGTTATTAGCATTTGTCACAAGTTTTGAAATTATAATAATTTATAGAATGTTTTGGAATTTGTTCTGGGGTTTTGTAGACAGTCTAATGACTTTAGGGTTTTATGTAGAATTTTTGTTTGGACTACTTTTCTCTCCTCTGAAGCATACAGTTGGTTGGCCACTTAGATTTTAATATATACGTATTGGCAAAATGTCTTTGAAATGTAGAACTGACAACTGACTTTTTGTGTCGTAGTCCATCTCGGTCCTCCTGGTGGCTTGTAATATCCTTTGCCTGTTGGTTGATGAAACAGCAATGCCAAAGGGAACGAGGGTAAAGTAGAATGTTTAACATGTCTTTCTTTTGCAAGAGTATCTGCATGTACACCCTGAGTGCTTCAGATAAGCCAGTTAAAGTCACCTTTCTTATGCATATACTTTACATTGTGTGAATTTCTTTATGCAAGGGGCCTTCATAAATAGCATTTATAAACTACTATAGGCCCAATGCACGAAATTCATGCAAGGGGCTCAGCCCTCGCAGCCACGGCGGCTGCCTCGGCCCTTGCAGCCCTGGCTTTGTCTGGAAGGTCGTCTGGTCTAATTAGCATATTATGCTTTTACTAGAGGCCCAGTGCACCGATTTGTGCACCAGTGGGGTCACTCGGCATGGCCTGCAGGGATCAGGCCGAAACCAGCTCTCCGACATCCCCCAAGGGGTCCGGGATTGCGAGAGGGTGGTTCTTGGGTGACACACCCAGAATCGGGCTCATCACCCGAGAACCGCAGTTGCTAAGTCACGTTAGCTTGGCAGCTCCTGTGTTGAGTGTCTGCCCCCTGGTGGCTCAGAGCAGGGCCAATTGGGGAGTTGGGGCACCGCCCCCTGTCATGCACAGAGCAGGGCGGATTGGGAGGTTGCGATGCAACCCTCAGTCACGCTCAGGGTAGGGCTGATTGGGGGGTTGGGGCACCGCCCCCTGTCACACTCAAGGCAGGGTCAATGGGGAGGTTGTGGCACCACCCCCTGTCACGCACAGAGCAGGGCCAATCGGGGTTGGGGCACTGCCCCCTGTCATGCACAGAGCAGGGCCCATCAGGGGGTTGGGGCACCGCCACTCTCACACTCAGGGCAGGGCCGATGGGGAGGTTATGGCTCTACCCCGTCACACACAGAGCAGGGCCCGTGGGGTGGGGGGGTTGGGGCGCCACACCCTGTCACACACAGAGCCGCAGGGTGATCAGGGGGTTGGGGAGCTCCCCCCATCAGGCACAGAGCAGGGCCGATCAGGGGGTTGGGGCGCCTTCCCCTGTCACGAACAGAGCAGGGCCGATAGGGAGGTTGTGGCCCCGCCCCTGTCACACACACAGCCGTAGGGCGATCAGGGGGTTTGGGCGCTGCCCCCTGTCACGCTGATCCCGGTGCCGGGAGGCATATTACCCTTTTACTATATAGAATAGAGGCCTGGTGCATGGGTGGGGGCCAGCTGGTTTGCCCTGAAGGGTGTCCTGGATCAGGGTGGGGGTCCCCACTGGGGTGCCTGGCCAGCCTGGATGAGGGGATGATGGCTGTTTGCAGCTGGTCACACACCCTCCAGGGTGGGGGTCCCCACTGGGGTGCCTGGCCAGTCTGGGTGAGGGGCTGAGGGCTGTTTTCAGTCTGGGACTGAAGCTCCCAACTGCTCCTTTTTTTCTTTTTTTTCTTTTTTATTCTGGGCCAGCTTTAGCTCTGAGGCTTGGCTCCAGTTCTGAGGCCTCAACTGCTGAAAACAGGTATCTGGTTTGTTTCGGTTCTATAATCGAAAGTCTGTATCAACTCCAGCTCTGAGATCCCGGCTGTCTGAAAGCTCGTTTCTGGGGTTTTGTTTAGCTTCTATATTTGTTACAATGTTTTTTAAACTGCAAGCTCAGAGGCCGGCAAGGCAGGCGGGGAATGTTGCAGTCCTCCGTCACTGAAGCAAGCAAGCCTCATGTTTAGTTTAAGCTGCCTGGCTGCCGGCCGCCATCTTGGCTGGCAGTTAATTTGCATATCTTGCTGATTAGCCAATGGGAAGGGTAGCGGTCGTACGCCAATTACCATGTTTCTCTTTTATTAGATAGGATTATAGATGGTTTTGTTTCTGGTATCTGGATTGGCCGGGCCTTTTATCAAAAATCAGGTACACTTCATATCAGAGTTTATCTTTGTTTTACTGAAATTCATTACTTGTGATTTTTTAAAAAAAATGTACACTCTGAAATAGTGACATATGAAGAGTTTATTAAATGGGTTCATTGGGTTTGTGAGAGACGCAACTGTGTGGTTGATAGGAGTCCCACTTCAGGAGAGTCTACACTTTATGATACTGAGTCAAAATGTTCAGTTACTGGCGAGAGTAAGAGGTATATCTTTTTATGAGTTAACTTAGTTTTCTCTCGTTAAAATATTGATGATTTTATTAAAATCTGTCAATTAGCTGATTTGAATATATTTTCATCAAGAAGGTAGTTACCACTAAATATTCATAGTTGACATAGTTTTTTCTAGATGTCTCTAAACTTTTACATACTTAAAGTAACATTTAAGTTTTGACATTTATTATATTTTTCCAAGTCAGCCACTTTCCCATTCCCCATAGAAATGACTTAAAAACTTTTAGACTTTTGATGCCCTTCTCTCTCTAATACACCTGTTCTCTCATAGAGAAAAGCCATTGTCTATCTTAATTCCTTCCCTTCGGTCTGTGATGAAGATACCCTGTTCTTTCCAAACCTAATTCATTCAGACCTAGTTCTCGATTTAGATCCCCCCTCACACCATTGTCCCTCGTGCCATCTGTCCCTGCCACTCTCTCCACAGTGTGAGCTACCAGCAGGCTCCAGGTGCCTCATTCCACTAACAAGCAGCAGCAACAGCCAGCCTCCTCCTACAGTCTGGTCTTCGTCTTTTGTTTACTCCCAATCCCATTGATAAGAGCAAGAAGTCACCTACTGTGTTGACTTCTAGCTACTTTTTAACCCATTCTTATATACTATATACTAAGTAAATCTTACGTCATAGTAGAGAGGGACTTATACCTGGTAGGCTCCTTGCATGATTGTGTAAATAAATCAGGTCACCTTAATCCTACCTGTGTAGGCCTCTGAAGACAGGGAATAGTTCCAAAATGTTTTTTATTACAGTTGTTGGGGAGGAAAATTTTTTTCTTCTACCCTTCTAGGTTCATTTGTCTGGTCTAAGAATTAAATTGACAAAGAGACAGAAAAACAGGAGAAAATAAAATTTAATTACATAAGTACATAAGGAGACCCCATAGAATGAGATCTCAAGAAATGATCAAAGCAGGGAATATGTATACCATTCTTAGACAAAGAAACAGTTACTTATGAAGATCGCACAAAACGGAGAGTTTGTGTTTGGGTTAGGGACTTAATTGAAGAAGTAACAAAGTTTGTTTGTATAGCGACCTCGGCCCTGAACTCCCTCTCTCTGGCACAGGGAGCTTTGTTCCTTGTGTTAGGGGAACAGGAGGCCAGAGTGTGCTTCTTGTACTGGCGGGCTCTCCAGCAACTAATTTGAAATGACCAACATGCCGCCGTGGCCTATTTTGGGGCGGCCTGCCCGAGTCCCATTGCAGTCAGTATGCTTATTATGCCTAAGTTAGAATGTATAGAGAATATTTATTATTTCTTGTTTTTGTTTTCTTAGTGTGACTATACATTTTATTATCCTGGTATTTCTCTTAGATGTAATAGAAGCTGATTGTAAATAAGTCATTCATATTCATATAGTTGCTTTAATTAATAAGCTATGGAAATATTGTTCCCACTTCATTAAGAAATAATTTTTCTCCTGTTTGGTCTCATTGACAAAACTACTTCTCTGTTTGTTTTTTGAGTCCTAGGTAAAGATAGTTTTTGAGAATAGGTACAATGTTTAGGAAAAAATTTATAGCATTACATTTGTTAAAATCTGGGTTTATTAAGTTATATCTTTTAAAACTCCCAAGTTTCCAAGGAAGATTTGGGGAAAGGACATTTCTAAGGGTTAGAAACAGGGTATGCACATTCACCTTCTTTCTGTGCTTAGCTTACTTTTGACATTTTTTTAATTGTATAATTTTTATATGTCGCCTCAGGGTTCGGATAATTATATATTTTATCCCTATTGTACTGTTATTGAAAGGTTAGCATGGAAGGTTAGCATGGTGGTCTGTCCGGGAAGGCTAAATAGCCACCTCTGAGGGTGATTAAAGAAAATTGAATTTATTTAAGAAAAGGGCTGCACAGCACTGAGCCAAGGGGACATTGGGGTGATGATGGCAGCTCCAGGAGCTGAGTGTCATCCTTATACATAGTCACTGGCAGGACACTTGTCATCAGTGGTTTTGGGGGCTGAGTCGTGGGCTTGGAATGCAGGTGGAATGCATGTGAGTGATCAGGTGCCTTCAGGACAATTTCAGTTCCTTGTATGGTCTGACTCCTGGTGTCCGGCATCATGTTCCTGGTCTTTGTCTCCGGTTGGGGGAAGTGGCCATTAAGGGTTGTGTTGCCCTTGTTAGCGTAAGAAACATTCAGACCTCTGAAGAGTTTTTGTGAGTTTATTTGAGCCAAACTGCTGACAATTGCTGGGAAGCAGAATCTCAACATATTGGGATCATGCTCCTGAGAATGGCGGGTTTTCACCTAGTTTTGCAGGTTACCTCAAGGAGGAGATGTAAGTGGGTTACCTGAAATCCACGGGTGATCAGGGAGGTGAGAGAAAGCAAAGCGGGGAACCTCTGGGATTGGGGAAAAGTAAAATGATAGACACTTACCTACCATGATCAGGAAGCTGGTTTTCCCAGGGCGATGCTTATCCATTGCATTCCGGATGTGCTGACCCCTGCGATTTCCCAAAACACATAAAGTGAAATGATAGACACATGCTTCTTTTGCATAGGTGGGTACAGGATAGTTGACAGTCAGCAATGAACTTGATAACAGTAACAATGAGGGAATTTTTGGTCTCCATCCTGGTGCATTGGTTGTGCCCTAAGGGGTCCCGAAAAAGGGAAGTTACAAGTTACCCTGACATTCCACAGGTATGTTATCATAGATGCAAAAAGACAATAGGCTTGGTAAAGATGAAAGTTGATCTTTGTCAGGGAAGATACTGGCCTAGGACATGACTACCCACTATAAATTTTTTAATTTAAAGAAGTTTTAATTTCAGGCCATCCTTTCTGGTTACTTTAAGTCCCTGAGTTAGCAAGGCCTCCACTCAGGCCTTCCCTGAGCTAGTCAGGTTAGCATGTGGCCCCTTTTCGTCCACACCCTGTAGTCCTAACAGATATATTTTTAAAGGATTTCTTCCAAGCATATTGAAGAATTCACAAAATGCTCATATTATTTTGATAAGTAACTTAAATTTAAAATAAATCAGAAATATTTTGAGCCTGTTAAAATTGTTAACATGTGGTTGAGTTAGTTGATGAACTCTGTCTAATGTCAAGTTTTATTAGACCAAGTTCCTAATTTCAGCTGTCCTATATTTGTGAAACAACAATTTTAGGGAAACCAAATATAATAGTGTCATTGAATTCTGAAAAGTGTTTTTCCCCCCAGGGGCCTGGGATAGGAAATGCCTCGCTCTCAGCTTTTGGTTTTGTGGGAGCGGCACTTGAAATCATTTTGATTTTGTATCCTTTCTTTCACTGAAGCTCTGTCTGTTAACAAGTTTTCTGTCCAGTTTTCTGGGACAGTGGTAATTTACTAAGACACTTGCCCCGAGAAAAAACAAGGCATTCTTCCCCAGGCACTCCAAGTGGCTTTTGGTTTTGTTTTGAGTTTCCTTTGGGCCTTCAGACTTGGAGACTACTGAGAACTGAAGGCAGCTCACATTCTTTGGAGGTGTTTTCCTTGATTCTCACAGCTATCTGATGGTGTCCTCTGTCGTCGGTTTCTATAGCCTCCGCTTTTTTGGAGACTTTATTCCCAAAAAGGATGACACGACCATGACAAAGGTAAGGTAGTCTCGGGTGACGGTGCCTCCCCTTTGCCTTCCAAGCCAACCCGTGTGCTTTATTTAGTAATCGCCCTGCACGTCGGCCCAGCAGAGGCATTTGTAAATTGCGCAAACACAAACTGGAAGGTTTTCGGGTGGGAGCTGCCAGGGTGCCCTGTGTGGCTTGGACGACGTCCATTCACTTGTAAATGCGGAGGAGCCTAGCTTGTTAGCTGGCACAGAGGCTCTGAAAAGACGCTTTTCCTCCAAAGAAAATGCTCCGCTAATGAGTCACTTGGGCTGTGCTGACTGCACTTCAGGGAGCTCCTTTGAGATCTGAAGAACCTCTGTTGCTACAAGTAGTGGAGACAAAGTGTTTCAAATTTGAATAATTAAAGCAAGACGGAAGAGGCCTATTCAGAAACATTTTGCAATCTGAGGCTGATTTGACTTCCTACAATATGTCCTTGGCTACGGGAATAGCGCAGGCTGTGGCACAATGGCTGCTGCTCTGTAAAATGTTCCCACCGGCTGAAATGAGCGGCAACTACAGGAGCTGTGGGCTTCTTTTATGTTATTAAATATTCCATATTGTTATCCTATTTTAAGAGGGAACTTATTTTCTGTTCATCTCTCGATGTACCTAACACACTGTGAGTTTTTGCAACTCTGAGCGTAGCTTAAGTGATCACAGGTCTGATCAGCATTTCCAGCTCTTATTTATGATGAAGGAACTAGAGGCCCGATGCATGAAATTCTTGCAAGAGCAGGCCTTCCTTCCCCTAGCTGCTGGCACCGGCTTCCCTCTGGCACCTGGGACCTGGGCTTCCCTCGCAGCCCTGGCTTCGTCTGGAAGGATGTCTGGTCTAATTAGCATATTATGCTTTTATTATTATAGATAAGCATAGGGTACATTGAAAATGAATGACTGGAATATATGTGTTTTGGATTTTGAGCTTTTTGATATTAAAATCTTATAACGTCAACATGTTAGAAGTAGATCTTATATAAATTATGAGCAGTAGTTGGCTTTAAAAACAGAGTCAGATATTAAATGCATTAATTATTTAAAGAAATATATTTTTCTTGATTTCAGAGAGGAAGAGAGAGGGAGAGAGAGATAGAAACATCAATGGTGAGACAGAATCATTGATCCCTGGCCCCTGCACACCCCATACTGGGAATCGAGCCTGCAATCAGAGTATGTGTCCTGACCAGGAATCGAACCATGACCTCCTGGTTCATAGGTTGATGCTCAACCACTGAGCCTGGCTGGCTGGGCTAGGCATTAATTCTTTTTCACTTGACAAGCAAGCTGTTTTGAAATTGGCAACATCTGTCAATGATGTAAAATGCATTGTCTGAGGTGGAAAGTAACTTAAGTGTTCTGTAGCTTTATATTTGTGCCAGGCACTACCAATATTTTCTAGAACATACAGGTAGCACATTAAATGTCTATAGGCAGTTTCTTCTTATTTTTCAATTCTATTGTGAAGAGTATGATTAAGAAGTTAGCAAGGTGCAGTAGGCACCTGGAGTGAACAGCTTCCCAGAGGGGATGGGCTCCGCTTATCATCCCGGTGCGAGACCGCCTGCTGCTCTTGTGTCTCCTGGCAGATCATTGGGAACTGCGTGTCGCTGCTGGTCCTGAGCTCCGCTCTGCCTGTGATGTCCAGAACCCTGGGTGAGTCCAAGCGGGATGTTCCACTCCACTCCACTCCTTCCCTCCAGTTTCCAAAGATCATCCTTCGAGATACACCACTTCCTACTTCACGCCTATACTCCTGCACTTCGTGATTTAGGGCTACACCAGAACACGCTTCTATCAAACGAAGGCCACTGATTCTTTTAAATCCTAATAATATGTCTTCTCAAACAGTGGACTTTTTTGTTCACTGACTAGTTAGGCTTTTGAGTCTCTAGTGAGGAAACTGATTTTTACTTTTAAAAATGTTTAATGTTTAGAAAATATTAAACTAATTTTTCTTAATATGAAATGTTTTAAAACATAATTGTATTTTAAAAAATTGAAAATCTGTCAGACTAATTTTAAGCTGCTCTATGTCATGAAGTGGGCGTAAAGGCAGTGAGGTCTCGGAGAACCACGGGGACTTAAAGGGCAGCCTTTAGTTTAAGGATCTCACGTGCCTGTCATCCACGAAGTTTTCCTGTTTACAGAATTTTGATTCTCTAAAAGGAAAGCGTCCCACATTCTAGTGGCTGGGAAGCTTCCTGTGGCCCCTCCCCGCCTGTAAAGCCCTGTGGGCTCAGAATGCTCAGGGCTGGGCTTAACTATTACTCCGCGTGTTCAGTAGGAGCTCCGTTTTCCAGACTTAGGGTTTGACCTGAGAGTGTTCACCAACGATTAGGAAAAATCCCACCATTCAACCTCAGCAACTTGCTCACAACAAAAATGACAAGTCCGAGCTGCTGTTGTTTCAACTGGTGTATCGCATCATCATTTATTCAAGACCCACCCATCAGGGATTCGGGCGGTGCCAAAAAGCAGGCGTTATCCTCGTCTCTAATTCTCACAGGAATTTCATCTTTTAATAAAGAGTGAAATCTCCAATGAGTAGAGAGGGACCGCTCTCCACAAACTGACAGAGCTCGCTCACGCCTCACTCTTTTGTGTTTGCTTACAGGGCTTGTTATTGTTTTGACATCTGCTTATGGTGTGCTAATCTTGAAAATGCCAAAAATCTGCACTTTCGTTACTTGATTTGTAGCTAAATGTCATATGTATCATGACAGTCCAACAAATAATTTCTGTGTTACTACAGCTACCCTACCATTTGGTCACTTATGAAACCTACTGTGCTCTGTTATTTAAAATTGTTCATAGCAGTACTAGTATATACTTGTTTACGGAAGAAAATTACATGCTGAGTATAGTTTCAATACAAAGAAAACGAGTGGCAAAATTTGCTTTTTTAAAGATCAACACATTAAATTCCTGAGTAGTTTGCCATAGAGATAAATAAAAAGGAGAAAAGGAAAGATGGAACAATTAAAAGGCAGCTAACAAATGCCCGGACCCAGCTGTCCAAACAGGATTAATGGCGTGCATTAGGGCGCAGTGGTCACGTGCTCCGCCCGGCACAGCACGCACGCACTACCTGTTATGCCAGTGGCACTGAATAGATGAAAAGGAGTAAGTGCACTGAACAGAGTCACAGAGGCTTTTCACAGCGTTAAAAAAGCAAATTTCTAGACAAAAAGAATAAGCTTTATTTAGTATTATGGGAAATGCAAACTTGGGAGTTACTTTGTAATTCCTCGGTTAACTCTTTAGAAGTGAGTCTTTGATTTTAAGAAGATAAAATATAGGGAATTGTCATGACTATTATCCTACAGTATAACGGGACTTTGATTTACTGGCTGAAAAGCTTATCAGACCAGAATAGAGGGTGTGCTTAAGCACGGATTCCAGGCTGTGGCGTCTCCTCTGTCTCATGCCTCCCACAGGGAGAGCCTGACCCCAGGAACTCAGCCCGCAGCAGCCCGCCACTCACAGTTAAATGAGACGCGAAGCAACAAGGAGCCTCATCACCTCCATTACTTGCAGCTCTTCTCTTAGTTTAATAGTTTTAAGTGATGATTATAAATTCAATTATAAATTGAAAATATATTGAATCCTGTATAAAAAATTAATTTGATGTTCTGGGAGGTTTTTTCTTTTAAATTTGCCAACTGCTACTGTTACTGTGTGGTAGGCATAAACTGTAGCTTTAGACTTACATGTCTGGTGTGACATGACACTTTTATTAAGAAATTCCTTTGGAATAGCTTCTTATATTTGAATATGGAAAACTGCACTAATTGAAAAATTAGTGCCAATTATGCTAATTTAAAAGTGACCACTAAGTAGATTTTATAAGCATATCATTTGCCACAAGGTCTGTGAAAAAAATTTTGACCTTTTATTTTCAGTCAAATATAATTAATATAGATGATCATTTTGTCACTTATAGGAAACACAAGACATCTGTGCTTAACATTATTTATTCGAACTCTTTAAACCCTTTGCGAGTAATGACACTCCTGGAGTTGGTGACCAGACTGGCTGGCTGCATGGTCAGACTTCAGTTTTGAAGAATGCAACATCTGGGGGATTTGGTGGCCAGATATTCAGTAAACAAAGGGGTCTCAAGGTGATTAGAGGAGATGGTTGACAGGCGAAATTAGAACATGATCAGGCCTAGTAAATGAACTATGGATGCTGGAGTTTTCTATAATAAAATATTTTAAAGGTAGCAGAGCATTTTGTAAGAACAGATTTTGTCTGGTTGCTGACATGTTCTTTTTTAAAAAAATATTTTTTTAATTGATTTCAGAGAGGAAGGGAAAGAGAAAGAGAGAAATATCAATGATGAGTGAGAATCCTTGATCCGCTGCCTCCTACTGGGGATCGAGCCCGCAACCCCGCCATGTGCCCTGACTGGGAATCTAACCATGACCTTCTAATTCATGGGTTGATGCTCAACCACTGAGCTGCACCAGCCGGGCTGACATGTTTTTTATTATGCTCAATCAAGAAACAACAGAAGGATTGACATTTTTTGCATTCTTTATTTGAAATCTCCTTGAACCAGAAAATTTTTCTCAACTGTAACCAAAAGACTTTGTAGTACTTTTCCTATTTTCTATTTTAAAATTATTTACTTCATTCTGAGGTTCTTTCTGTGACTTGTTAGTGGTGCAGGTTCCAAATGCAGGTTTAAAAAATGTGTTTGTGGTATGAACACAAAAACTCGTACCCTTTTGAACCAGCCTGTTATTTGTGTCCTGTGCCCGTATTTCTCATCAGGGTCTCATACAGGAGAGCAAGTGCATTATTTGCTTTTGTTCTTTGATGAAAGAGTCCTGTTTCATTTCTGTCCTTTTGGAGAGGTTTTCTTTTGGGGTTTTGTAAATATATTCCTAATTTTTACACTGGGCCTTCTTTCCTTCTCCAGTTCTCAGGGGGGTTAGTGAGGGGCGACCAGTGTGAAATAGAAGTATAAATTATCATATAATTATGACTTTGATATAGAAATACTTTCAAACCTCATATTGAAAATTTCTCAACAAAACAATGTGTATATGACTTAGTCATGGTCAGTTATTTTGTAGAAAATAATAAATGAGTGGTACTGATGAACTTTTTAAAAAAATTTATTGACTTCAGAGATGAAGGGAGAGGGAGAGAGAGATAGAAACATCAATGATGAGAGAGAATCAATGATTGGTTGCCTCCTGCCTGCTCCCTCCCGGGGATCGAGCCCGCAACCCAGGCATGAATCTAACCTGGGACCCCTCAGCCCGCAGGCCGATGCTCTGTCCACTAGGCCATAACAGCAAGGGTACTGATGAACTTCTGATTGATTACCACTGTCCTCATGTCTGAACAGTCAGTTTGTGTGTCTAGTTAGGATTTTTAACGAAGAGGCAGTATTCTGAGTCAGATGTCTAAGAGTCTGGACCGTAACCATGGCTCACGCTGCACGCCCTCATTCCCAGCACCTCGTCATGTTCTGGCACTGTCCTAGTTTTAGGGCTCACAGTCGCTCCCAAGAAAACATCAGGGCCACACATTATCCAAATAACTTAGCCATCTGTTGACACACAACCAAATACCTTAACTTTTAGTTTGTTATAAAATAATTTTCATATGAAAATAATTCCAGTAGGGATTATTTTGCTTGAAGAAGCCTTAAGATACAGTTTTAGAATGTTAACAATTAAAACTAGACTGTGAACTATAGTGAGGGACTAATTTGTACCAAGAATCAAGAGTGCTAACCTGGCTGAGAATATACATAGTATTGGCTGCCTCTTGCATGTCCCTCTGGGAGATGGAGCCCACAACCTCGTGGTGCATGGGGTCAAGGGTCAACCACTGAGCCACAGGCTGGGCGTTATGATTATTTTTTAATTGACCATATTGCTATTTATTTTCTATTTGGCCTGTCTCTTCTTTGTTCCCCTTTGTTACCCTTTATCTGCATTCTTACCTATTTAGTTGGCCTACTTGCTATAACTCCATTGTATTACTTGGATAGTTGTTTTATGGTTTATAGTATACATTTTATTATTATTTATATTTTTTTATTGGTTTCAGAGAGGAAGGGAGAGGGAGAGAGAGAGAGAAACATCAATGATGAGAGAGAATTATTGATCAGCTGCCTCCTGCACACCCCCTACTGGGGATTGAGCCCATAACCCAGGCATGTGCCCCTGACTGGAATCGAACCCGGGACCCTTCAGTCTGCAGGCCGACGCTCTATCCACTGAGCCAAACCAGCTAGGGCCATTTTATTATTATTATTTTTAATAATTCTTTATTGTTGAAATTTTTATATATGTCCCCTTTTTCCTCTCATTGACGCCCCCTTCAGCCCGCCCCCGCCACCCCCCATCCCCGCCCCAGGCTTTCAGCACCCTATTGTCTGTTTCCATGGGCCATGCATATATGCATACAAGGTCTTTGGTTGATTATCTCCCACCCACCCATGCTCCACTGCCTTCCCTCTGAGATTCCGCACTCTGTTCCATGCTTCCATGTCTCTGAATCCACTCTGTTCATCAGTTTATTTTGTTATTTGGATTCCACATATGAGTGTGATCATGTGACACTTGTCTTTCTCTCACTGGCTTATTTCACTTAGCATGATACTCTCCAGGTCCCTCCATGCTGTCTCA